TTGCCATGATGGTTTTATCGGTTAGGATCGGGTTATCCCAATAGAGCCGGAAGCGCTGATTCTCCAGGACCGTGGCTGGGCAATATTTGTAGTAGGGTTCAGCAGTATCACATAGTTCTCGATCGTTGGCCAGCGCTAGATGTATAATTTTAGCCATGTTGTTATGCCGCTCGGTATATTCCTTCCCTGCAAGCAATGCGCAACCAGATGTAATGTGATCTATTGTCTCGGATGCAGCATTACACTTCCTACACTTATCGCTCTCGATCTTCTCCTTCAGTATATATCTCTTGTAATTCCTGGTACTGATCACTTGGTCTTGTATTGCGAGAACAAATCCTCTATACTCCTCTATGAATTATTATTATTATTATTATTATTATTATTTTTTTTGTTGATAATTTTACCTTTGTTTTTCCCCCGATCACGTTGATTGTAGATTTTAGATTTTGGCAATAATCATTTTGATCATCAGATCATCATCAGGCCACATGGTGAACACTAATGTTAAAACTTATTAAAACGTATTAAAAACATTCGTAGGTGCACCCGCCGCGATCGCGTCATTACAACGTCAACTACGTCATTACTAACATCATTACGTCAAGTACAATGCATCCCGATAAAAATAGCTGCAACTTCTTAATAATTTTTTGGTCAATTTTGCAACCTTGGAATTGAGTCAAGTTCCTTTGACCAGGCAACGACGGATAGGAGGTCTCACTTTACGACTTCAATCATCAAAATGTTCCATACAAAGTTGTTGGTACTACAACGTGCATACGACCACCCTGAAATATTCTAATCACCCATGAAAAAACGATTAGTGCCGTACTTGATAATCACCTTTCCAGCATCAACATCTCATAAGTGAAGCAGATTCGGAACTCGGTGAGAGTCCTTGAGGACAGGTTTGGAACGATCGGTTTCATCCGAAAAAGCGCCCATATCGTCTCGTCGCGCTCGGGTTAGGCCGTCAATTAATTAAGCCGCGCAACCTTGAAAGCGATCAGGTTTAATTTTAATTAGACTCCGGCATTAAGCGCCTTGCGTTGACAGTGAGAAGAAAAATATTGAGCCACTGGCGGCGCAGTGTGGGGTGCGGGTGTGAGGGCGGAAAGTAAGAGCGCCAGGAAGGCATAGATATTAATTTGAGTTGTCGGAGCCGCTCATAAACGACTCACTTGCACGTTAATTAGCACATTTGTATATGCCTCTCAAGTAGGCAGTGGTTCTCTTTTTCGAGAAAACTTACTTCCGATGAATGCCATGACTTCATTATGATGTCAGTGAGTAGAATATGTCACCTGTTTCAGTTTTCTCATCATGCGAGTTTAGAAAACCGATGGTTAAAGTATCAAACCACGTATCTCGATTATTTTCGGATTTGAGATAGCAGCATAAATGACCTGAACAGAGGCATGGAGAGACCCTCTATTGGACTAGTTCTGCTGGACGGAACCAGAGACAGGCGGGCTAGAAGAGGTGTGCTCGTTCATTCACGGCCGTAAGAATAAATGGGAATTATGAAGCGCCAGTGACGGTCAGCGGCGACGACGAGTTCGCCGGATTCTAACTCATGAGCCCTGACCAAAACGCTCTTGTCACATGCCCACGGCTCATGAGTTAGAATACAGTCGGGGCTTATAGTTCGTTTAATTTAATGTAAAATCCCACTTTTCCATTTTCCCAAAGGCCACAAGGAATCACGCCCACTTTTACACTGCTCCTCATGCAGCTTATCACGAGTACAGAGCACACCCTTTCTTCCCCATACGTCTCTATAGTTCCTTTTGGCAGAAATACGTCCTATTGATGTCTTAGAATTAGTAAAATATTTTATTTTCGGGACTTCAACATTCGAATGTTAACCTACCTATTCGAATAGTCTTGCAGTCCGATTAATGTCATCTAGGGAATTAATCATGAAACAAAATTTTTCCGGACTCAAAATTCTAAGCTTGACTTTGTTAGAATGTGTCTCGGATGGTCAGAAAAAATCAACGCAGAAAAACGCACAATATCGCCAATATGTAAATCAAGGCGAACACTCATTCAACGTTTAACAGTATCATTTGTTTCC